AAAGTTCTTTTTCTTGTAACAAGAACTGTTAAAATCTACTCACTTAATGACTTTCAAATATGCAATACAGTATTATTAACTATGGTCACGATGTTATATACTACATCCAAGAGTTCTTTATTTTATACCTGGAAGTTTACACCTTTTAACCCCCTTCACCCATTTTGTCCACCCCCCACCTCTGGCAACCACCAATCTGTTCTAAGAGAGTAGATCCTAAATGTTCTCACCACAAAAAAGAAATAGTAATTATGTGATGTGATGGAGGTCTTAGCTAACGTTATAATGGTAAGCATTTTGCAACATATATGTGTATCAAATCAGCAGGTACATCTTAAACTTACACAATGTTATATGTCAATTATATCTCAATAAATCTGGGGGGAAAAAGAAAGGACAGAAAATAAAAAGGCAGAAAAAGGACAGAGAAAAGACAAAGAGCTACACATGAGGAAAATGGTATGAATCAGTTGCCATTCAGTTTTGTAAATACTACTGGTTCCTACTAAAGAAGAATATAACAGGCTCCAGACTGCATTCACAATAAAATATATAGGGAAAATATTTTCTAAGTTTCGGCCTTCTAATTTAGGCTCTCTACTTTCTGAGTCCGTTGCAGTAAATGAAATCCAGCCTGGGGCTTTAGACCTGCAGTCCCCCAGAGTTAGCCGTTCAAGTCACACAAGGGATTCTGGATGGATAAGAAGCACGTGCCAAAGACAAAAACAGTAAACCTATTTAGAAGAAACTTTAGAAAGCTGGAAACTGAAAAACATTTCATGGAATAAAATCCAGATCTTTATTTAGCAATCGTGAAACTCTTCTTGAAGTTTCTTTTAAAAAAACAACTTTGAGACGTTTGTTTCGTCTAATTGTTGTGAAACAGAGTTGATAATCTGTAAATACCTTAGTTATACTAGCAGTTCATGTTGGTTAATAGTAAATCTATGCTCTATTTTAGATCTATAACATTCACATCTCTTTATTAGTCCAAAGAATCTTGGAATTATCTTCTATATTTCCTTTATACATAAAAGTAAATAAATTGATGACTCTAGTATACTCTTTATCTCAAACAATATGTACGTGAGGCAAACCAAACGACATTTGCCTATCTCTGCTTCAGAAGATAGAGGCGGTTCCAGAATTTGTGGCCAGAACGTAACTCTGGTGCTGGAAGCTACAACTGTAATGAACCAGACGCAGACAGAAGCTGACTAGAGCATTCAATTGCAGGTCAGGAAGCCACACCAGCAGAACACACAAGCTCCATGCTCAGCTACTTAGAGAGAGACCACAAGCCTTTGATACAATACATATGCCACCGGCTAGACTGAAGTAGAGAAAGGACATCTTTTCTCTCTTTTTCGAAAGGCCTGCTCTTTCTCATAAAGGATTGACAGCAACTGACACACGAGAGAGATCTGGATGCAGAAAGAAACTTGAAAATTCTACTCTAGTCAATTTTAGGCTTTCATTAAATTCAGAGATTTTCCTGCCACACAATAACATTGTCACTTGGTCAAGGAGGAACAAGAAATCTGCATGCCTTGAGATCAACTATTGCCTTTTAAAGTATATATTGTTCAAATTATACTATCTTTTGAACATTGTGGATCATGACTCACAGTAAAAAAATATATTTTACATCATAACCCAGTACAAACAACACACATACAACGTAAAACAAAAGTTTCATACAAGTTACCCTCACTACTCGCAATGAATACGGTGTCCATTTTACGTTGTCTTCTTCTTTAACTCTGGCTACATAACCCAAACTGACTTCATGACCGAGTAATGGGTTATAACCTACAGTTTGAGCAACACTACTGTAGTACACACATGTGGTCGGGCCTTTGTCTACCTCTCTAACCAGATCTCACACTATTCTCCACCACACTTACCCCACTGCCGCCGCCCCCACCCCACCCCACCACATAACTGCTATTCTTTTTTACATTAAACCTAAGATCAGTTCCTGAAACATACCAAGTTCTTTGCTGCTTCAGGGCCTTCATCTTGTTGTTAGTGCTGCCTCTTGGTACACTTCTTCAGATCACTACACTTTATCACTAAGATCTCAATTCAAAAGCCCCTTCCTCAGAGGGGCCTTCACTGACCACCCAATTTGAAAGAGCCACCACAGAGGGCTCCGGCCAGCATAGAGGGAAGCGGGGGAGGAGTTCACTACTCTTAGAGCTGTTGGGAAGTCTGAACGACAAAATGTAAGATAGCCACAAAAAAACAGTATTCTGCAAATGTCACTTTCCATCTCCCTATGGTGCTACACAGGCCACTGAAGTCTAGCTATTGAAATTCTGTTCCATTTGCTTCCTGATGGCTTTTCTGACTCTGAAAAGTGGGGACTTCATCCTCCAATATCCCCCAGGTACACGGAATACTCCTAGAGCACTTAACACATTCCTTCTTATTTTTTACTTATTCAGCAAATATCTGAGTGCCTAATATGGCCTAAGCAATAGCAGTAAACAAAATAAAGTCCAATTCCTCTAATAGTTCAGTTTAGTAAGAGTGACAAATTTATAAACAAATAATCTCAACTGAATGTGCTAAGTACAATAAGAGAGATGTGTACTATGTAAAGTTGTGACAAAAAAAGAATGAAGAGTCAACTCTCTTTGAGTAGAGAAGTAAGGCATCACAGAAGAAGAGATACTTAACCTGGAAGGTCTGGAAGGGTCTGGAAGGATCAACAGGAGTTTGACAAGCAAACAAGGAGGTGAGGGTATTGCAAGTAGAAAGAACAGCAGGTGCAAAGCAGAGGGAAAGGCTTACTACCAGTTTGAAGTTGCTGAGAACGTTCAATGAAAGGCAAGCGGCTAAAAGGCAATGGGCTAAAAGGAGTGTCTAGGAAAGGGAGAGGCACGAAAGAATGCTAGATTGTGGAGGGTCTTGTGCGTCACTCCAGATACTCTGAATTTTATACTGTAGGGAATAGGGAGTCTAAAGTTTTAAAGAGGTGAGTGACAGCAACAGATTTCGGTTTTAGAAAATTCCTTCTTGTGTCAGAGAAAATAATGGGTTGGAGAACTGCCACACTAGGCTGTTAAAGACACCATTACAATAGTCCAGGCAAAAAATGAGGGGATCTTAAACTAAAACAGGATCAAGTGACCAAATGAATACAGGAGACACAGGAGAGGAAGGAATGTAGAGTAACTCTGGTTCAGGTTATATTGTGACTTTGGTTATAATACAGTGGTACCATTTATTAATTTGGTGAAATAAGAGAAACCAGATGGAAAAAAAGCAAGTTCAGTTTTGGTCATGTTGAGTTTGAGAAGGCTTTGTGGTAACCAGGTAGAGATGTCCAGGAAGTAACTAAGTTAGGCCTTAGCAAGTCTGAGACAAAAAGTGAAATGTAGGAGTGAAAGTTTAGGCATTAGTATAACTCATGTGGGTGGATGAAATCACCCAAGGAAAATGTATAAACTAAGAAGTGAAAATAATTAAGGAGTGAGTCCTAGAGAATTTTATTTAAAAAGCAGGCAAAGCCAGTGAAAAGAAGTGGGAATGAATGCCCATGAATTTCAGTTGTCACAGAGAAGCTAAATAAAATAAATTTTGAGAAGAAATTACTGGATTTGGCACCTAAAAGGCCATCAGAAACTTAAGCAAGAGCAACTTCATTGAAGCCATTTGAAGGTAAGTCAGACAATAGAATATTGAGGATGAAAGTGAAGAGGCAGAAGTTGAAGCACGTGAAAACACTATGCTTTCAAGCAGTTTACTGATAGATGGGAGGGTGTTTTTGTTTTATTTCATTTTCCTAAGATATACAGCATGAACGCTGAGGAGAAGGAAATGGAGAGGAAGAGACTAAAAGTATAGGAAAGAAAAAAGATAACCAGAAGCAAAAAGTCTTGTAATGAATGGGAGACAATGAGATCTAGAGCAAAGATGGATGTATTACCCTTCAACACCTTTCTCCAAACTTGAAACGCAAGACTAAATCATGGGGAAAAGAGATCAATGTGTAGGTTTGGGGGAACGATGTTGAAGAAATTGACTATTAAACTCTGTCATCTGCTTAGAAGGGAGGAGAGAGGGGGTAAGGGACAGGACTTTGTGAAGACTTGGAAAGGGCTCTGCAGGAAAAGGGCGGGGGCAGACCTGGATAACAAAAAGGATTGCTGAGTAGTACTGGAGAAAGAAGGGGCTCTGTTGCTAAATTCATAGTTGTATCCATTTGACAACAGTCATTTTTCTATCCTCCAGTCTGTTATTCATAAGTGTTTAAAAGATTTGGTAATTAAGTGAATTAACTAGAACCGTGGTGTTTTCAAACATGTGAGGGAATTAACATCACCTGTAGGCTTTCTAAAAATGCAGATACCGAGTCCCATTCCTATTTATTCAGAATTTTGGCAGGTGAAGCTCAAGCAAGTGAATTTTCCACAAGCTCTCCAAGAGACCTTAAGGAGCATTCCTGTTAAAAAGCACGGACCTAGAAGGTAATCAACTGCCTAGAAGAGAGCTGATGCAAAATACAGCTATTACTAAATGGCCCTTAGACGGGGTGTGGGACAGTGCTCCGCCACTCAGGAGAGCAAGAACTGCAAGATCTAGGGAGATTCGGATCAACGTTGAGACAGTCACATACACACCACCACATACCCTTAAAGGAAGCGCGTTAAGGTGAAGCTGACAGCTGGAAACATCCAATGATGAAAAATGAAAACATTTAAAACCTTTGTTCGAAATAACGTCTCACCCTCAGGCTCTTATGCTCAGTCTTACCCCTAAACTTTGTTACATTTCTCTAGAGGCTTAGCAATACCAAAGTGGAATTCAGGGTGCTGCCAGAAATAGGGAGAGCGAGGAAATTGCGGGGGCAGCCCCTGGAAAGAGAGAAAAAGATAACGGGGCGAAGGTGGAAGGGGCGGGGACGCCTCTGAGTGCCCATACGCCCCAGAACCTGGGACGCTGCGTACCCAGGACGCCAGAGCCGTTCTTCTGGCCTTGCCTGCACTCACCATAGTCTCAGGACCACGGCACGAGGAAACAGGTACCGTAGAGACAGGAAGACACCAACACCACCACCACTAACGCCCGGTTGTCTGGCAACAGAGCCCCGCCTACTGCCAGACCCCGCGTGGACCTACCCCCTGCCCCGCCCCTTCGTTCCTAGAGGCTGGGAGTCATTGCAGCTCCGCCCACCCAGTCAACAGGCCCGCCCCTTCACGGCGTCGCCCGGGGCGACGGAACACCGCCTACCTCTTTCCTGCATCGTCACTTCCGTTTTGTTGACAGATGACCCGGAAGTTCAAGGCAATATGCAGATGGGGTCCAAATGTTCTGTGTTTATTTTTAAGTAGGCATCTATCTACTTTTCACTTGCTGAAGCCTTATACCTTGTATTCTGTGTTACTTGAATTTAAATGCACCACAGAGTATGTTTACCTTTTTCTTTTAGAAAAATATTCCGGAAACGAAACCCTGAGTAATCGGAAATGATTAGTAGTGAGCGAGAAGCTTCGCGTCACGAAGGCCTGGGCGGGTCGGCTTGCGAATGGAAGAGGAGCGTGCGGGGAAGTTAACCCAGTGACGCCGAGCCGAAGGACCTGTAAAGTGAAGCCCCCCGGCATAGGGAGAGTAAGAATCTTAGAGGTAAGTCCAAGAACGGCTTGTGTAACTAAGAAGGGATGTTGGAAAGTCACGGAAGTCTGGGTTGGAGTTTGGTGTTCGCTCGATTTGGATTTAGGGAAGGGTTGCCTGTTGTTTCGCATTTGTTCAGACAGGGACGGAACTTCAGATTCGACTTCCCGGGACGGCAGAGGTGGACAGGCTTGTCGCTTTCGCACCTGTTACCCAGCACCCCACCTCCACCCCTTCACTTGGGGTTGCCCGCAGACGCTCGCCGTGCTCGTACATTTCACCGTGCATCTTCCGAGCGCAGTTTCAGGGCTCATTGCTCTTTCCAAGGGTCTTCAGAGACCTGTTTCCAGAACATAGAAGGAGGGTTTGTGACTGTTGAGGAAGGTAGTCGTGGAAGACCCTGCGCCGAATTATGTCGAGTACTCAGAGTGATCATTTTTGCGGTGAAACCAGTTGTCATCTGATGTACAGTTGATCATAGTAATATCATTGCATTAGTGTCCCCTTCCTTCTCGTGTTCTCCAGTGAAGCTGTAAGGCCATGCATATCTTTCTGAAAACATATTCTGTGCCATTTTAATTTTATTACCGAGAAAGTGCAAATTGTTATCGTGAATATTTTTGTCGCTTGTTAAACAGATGAACAGAAGCTCCTCTCTGATATATACAGTGAACAAATTAGTGTCAATAATGTCTCCTGAGAAAGTCATTACTACAATTAATTTGAAATTCCTGTTGTCATATCATTAATACAAAAACCCCTCCGGTAACTTCAGTGCTGTTTCTGACTAAAATTCAGACACACTTCTGGTCTTTTAGAGTCTACTGGTGAGGACAGTGAAGCAGAAATTTGAAAGTAAATCACTCCTAATTTTTTTGAGAAATTTGGTAGCTGTAACAATATCACCTGTGAAAAAGGGATGTGAGCAACACTCCCTTTGTAAATGCATCTGTACAAAATGCAGAAGCAAAGAGAATAGAATATTTAAATTACAGGGAGTTAATGAATGTGTTTATGTGGTTTTAATTCTTTCACTTTATACATTTTTAGGTTTTTCAGTAGAAATCTTGGGGCGTGTTTTCATTGGTTAAAAAATGACTACTCTTGAAAGTTTAGAAACCAAAGGTAAGTGTTCTTCTTTTGATGATAATTGTGTTTGAAACATGAAATTTATGACAATAGGATGAGGGAATGTTTGAACCAGATAACTAAATCTCACAGAGCCCTTGGGAATTATTTGTGTTTCAGATCTCTTCATGTTTGTTTTGTAATGCAGTGTGTACATTTTAGTAGTTAAGATATACAATTAAGGGGCCGGCCCTGTGGCCAAGTGGTTAAGTTCCCACACTCCACTTCGGCGGCCCAGGGTTTCACCAGTTTGGATCCTGGGCGCGGACATGGCTCTGCTCATCATGCCATGTTGAGGTGGGTCCCATATAGCACAACCAGAGGCACTCACAACTAGAATATACAACTGTGTACTAGGGGGCTTTGGGGAGAAGAAGAAGAAGAAAAAAAGAAAATTAGCAACAGATGTCAGCTCAAGCACCAATCTTAAAAGAAAAAAAGATATATAATTAAATATTAACATCATTCGGTAGTATTTACTAGATGACTACTGTTAAACTTCTAGTGTAAAAGCAAAGTTTTACAGCTATGGACTCTATCCACCAGAAGATTAAGATTTAAATAAACAAGACTATGCATTCTTAAAGATTGAAGTAGGTAGACAAACAACTAGCAGGTATAAAGGACCTCTTTCTTGTTGCAGTGGTTTGCGAGGACTGCTGTAACAAAGTACCGCAAACTATGGGGCTTAAACAGCAGACACTTATTGTCTCACAGTTCTGGGGCTAGAAAGCCAAGATCAAGGTGTTGGCAGGACCAGCTCCCCCTGAAGGCACTAGGGCAGGATCTGTTCCACCCCTCTCTCCTAGTTTCTGGTGGTTTGCTGGCAGCTTTTGGTATTCCTTGGCTTGTAGATGCATCATCCCAATCTCTGCCTTTCTGTTCACATGGCGTTCTCCCTGTGTGTGGGTCTCTGTGTCCAAATGTCCCCTTTTTATAAGGACATCAGTCATATTGGATTAGGGGCCCGCCCTACTCCAGTATTATCTCCTCTTAACTAATTACATCTATAACGACCCTATTTCCAAATAAAGTTACCTTCTGAGGTATAGAGGATTAGGACTTCAACATATGAATATTTGGGGGGGACACAATTCAACTGACAGCACTTGCTAACTTCAGTAGTTACTTTTTAGTGTTCCTTGCTTGTCTTCTCTATAACATTTTATACTGGTGATCATTCCACCTTTTGAAATACCTTGTTTCCTTGACTTCTAAGACATCACTCTTATTTTCAGCCTACTGTGTAACCCTTCACTGTCCAATACAGTAGCCACATGTGGCTCTTTTATTTTTTATTTATTTTTTTTAAGTCAAACCAACACTTTTATTGAAAGAGAAGAGCAAAGCCCCCCACCCCCCCAGTCCTGGCAGCATAGGCCTCAGGCTTGGCATCTGGGTGTCCTGTAGCCCGAGAGCTCACATGTGGCTCTTTTAAATTAATTTTTTTAAAAATTAAAAATTGAGTTCCTCAGTCACACTAGCCACATTTCAAGTGCTCAATAGCCACATGTGGCTGGTGTCTATTGTACTAGAAAGTGCAGATATGGAACATTTCCATCATCGCAGAAAGTTCTGTTGGACACCACTGCTCTAGCTGTATTTTCTGTTTCTTTTCATCCCCCTCTTCTGGTTTATCTTTTAAATATTAATGTTTTTCAGCTCTCTTACTCTTCTACTCTCAGGGCTTCAGCACTTATCTGTAAGAATGATTTCTTATAGATAATCTATCTATAGTTCAGGTCTCTTCCCTTGTGATTCAGACCTTAGAGCCTACTGCCTACTGACTTTATCCACTCAGACATTGGTAATAGTCTTAGCATGTCCCAAAGTGAACTCCTCCTAATTCAGGTTATTCTTGGGTGGAGTGAGTTCTGGAGGTCGGGGCTGTCAGTGAGAGATGGGAAACTATTTTCTAGAAGCCAACTTTGCAGCAAGCAGAATGCAGCAGACTCATTAAAGGGGGTTTAAATATGTTTAGGAAGCAAGGAAGAGAAGATTATGCCAATAAATATTTAATTGAATTTAATTCAGCTATGTGCAACAGCATTTCGAGTTACCAGAAGGCTTTTGTGGTATTAGAATAAGCAAACCAGAGTTTGTAATGAAAGTAATAAACTGGGGATTAATGGGAAATCGGAAAATTAAATGGTAACTAATGTGAAAAGGTGCACTTATCATGGTTGACATTTGTCAGTTGCCTGCACTTCCTGTAACTGCCTCAGAAGAGAAGCAAGATTGGTTTATAGTGACAGAACTTCCTCTCAGTGGATGTCTGAGCAATAGTATCATCATGAGGGGGATGTGTCCTTGCTATTTTTGAAAGGGAAACATGCGATAAATAGGAACAATTAGAAAATTAGAATTTGAATCCAAAACTCTTCTTGGTTGCAAGACTAAAATTAAAATTAAAGGTGTTAAAGTCAGTTTAGTGAAAGTAGACCAAATAGGAAAGTCTGAGACAGTTGAATATTTATAATTCCGTAAAATAGTCTAACTTTAACATGCTTTCTATAGAATAATAGGTATTAGGTGAAAAAGGTTTCCATGGGCAGATAAATTTGGGAAATGCTGGATAAAAGGAGAGATGATACTACAGGACCTCTCAGAGCCTCTAATACTCTAATGTACACTGTGAAGCTCCAAAGAGATATAGTATGCAGCATTATCCACAGTTCTTTGATCAGGGAGCTCTATTCATGAAGCCTGTGACAAAAAGAATGTTTGGATTCCATGTCAATAAATGTGGGCCTAACTCCCTACATTTCACCAGTCCTTGGGGAAGGCAATAAGAATCCCTGGGGAAGGCCATAAACCTTAGATACATTTTAATTCGTTGATAAGCGATCACGGTGTGGAAGTGACATTGATGAATAATTGAAGAATTGTTTTGTTGAGTCCCTTCAAAGAGTGGAGAAGAACAGGGGTTGACGTTTGCTTTACTTAAATATTACTCATAATTATGGAGCTGGTACCTTAGATCATTGTCTTCCCACTTGAGAGAAGGTAATTACTTATGAATGTGTCCTGGATTGTGCCTCGTTCATATGTAATAAAGGTTCCTATGTGTGTCACAAGGAAAATAGAATTATGAAGGGCAAGTTGCTGGGTGAAAACATGTAAATCCTGGACTCCTGCTGCCTGTCTGGGCCCATTAGTTAGAGGCATAGTTGTTACAGGGAGGGAGCTGCCATGGGATACGTAGTACAGCGTTGTTACTCATAAATGCTTGAGTAAGTAGAACAATTTAAATAAAGTTAAGAGTAAACTGAGGTTCACCAAGTTGACTGAATTTCTTGATTCGAATTTTATGACATATTTTGTTTGAAAAGAGATTTCCATTAAATACTCAGTGTTTCTTTGGCTTTTAATTTTAGCATTAACCACTTTGTGA